CTTTCCACTTGTCTATGTGTCTTGTTAGAATCATAACATGCTAGGGTTTATGTTTTGTCTTGGTGGTTACCATGAACATTGCTATGTTTTCTCTTATGAAACCTTGAACTTATGCTTTGTTGATTATCATCTTTGTGTCTTTTGATGTTGTCACATGATCATTCTAATATCTCTCGGTTTTTACCATGCTCCGTGCCTCCATCATGTTAAATGTTGTCACATTTGGTATGACTTAATCCATATTCTATGTTTTGTTTAAGTTGTAGCTTACATGCTTGATTTCTACTTGTTCGTGTTTATCTTTGTGTTGTAACCTCTTGAACATGATCCCATGTCCTTAAATTACTTAATATGATGTCTTGTTAGCACCATAACATCCTTAGGATTGATTCTTGTTTGGAAAGTTACCATGAACTTGTATGCTCCCCCATGAAACTTTGAACTGTTGTAACACTTCTTGTATGATTTCTTGTATTTGATTGTCATCAATGCATGAATGTTAGTCTTATGTTGTTACGTTTGACATTCTTTGATCACTATGACATGCTTTCCTCAAGTTGTAACTTTCTTGCATTTAAACTTGTTTGAATTACATGTTGTTGTCTTGGTGGTTGTTACCTCATTTCTCTTCATCTTTATTAATATGCTTCAGTTAATCTTATTTTGTATGATATGGTCTTGTAAGAACCTCTACCATGTTCCCTCTCTAGATACTGTAATATATTTGTACTTTATGGTTGTAACCATTTGATTTGATTATAATCTTTGCTTGTTGTTGTCACATGCTTGCATCTCCTTGACAATTACCTTGCTCTGTTATATGTTCATCATGTTTGAATGAATGTTTATGTATGATTTTCTAGCTTTGTTAAGTTATTCCCTAGTGATGGAACTTGTTAGTTCTCATCCAGTTACCTCATCTTTTCCTATTCCAAAGGAAAGTCTATCTATTGACCCTTGGGTCATAGACAACTCATTACCCTCCCTTTGACTTTGTTAAGCCATCTTTGAACCGTAACTTAGTTAAGTTAGAACCCATAACCATTAGACTTTGCTTGAAGTCTAGAAGACCTCCCCCCTTGTTAGGAATGTCTCTCAATTAGAACTTTAAGATAGAGTTTGTTAACTCTATGTAAGAATCATGGTGATGATTACTTACTCCCCTCCTCCCTTGAGTGTACAACTTAGAACAGAGAGTTTTGTTAAACTCTACGCAAGCATTTTTATGTTTGTTCCCCTAGAGTCTTGACCATAGTCAAGTACTTTTTAATCCTCGGTAAGGTGAACTACGTTTGCTCTGATTCTATCCTAGTTAGGATACGTAGGCAGAGGATGCGATATCTTTGCGAGCAAACCTAAAACTATCTTTAGGTCTGTATCTCAATCTTTACCTTATACCCAATCCCAAACCATAGCAAACATTTAGCAAGTATAGCATACAAACATACAAAAGGTTCTTGTAGAGTACTACAGATGTTTAAGATGTGAAATACCTACCCTAAGCATAACCAACCCCAGATCCCTGATCTCTTAGCGTTGTTGTTATATTGCGCAAAAGGTCTTTCTTTCTTCAACCTTTCCTTTGGATAAATCAAAGTCCGGTTGTGAATTCGATGAATTAAGATTCAAGTTAATCGATAGCTTAGTATCACGATTCTCACCGCAACACATATCTCTCGGTGGTGATTGGATTTTTGATCGACTAATAAGGTTAGGTGTAGCTATTACGATTGGTTAAAAGCTCCAATAGATTGTTTGAAATAGCTTTGAAATAGTTGGGGATTGTATTTAGGTGGGATCTATATGTAGTATAATATGTTGCTCTCCTTGTAAATGGGTTGGTATACACTTAGTACACCTTTTGAATATATATTGTTGCTTATAAAAAAACGTTTGTTTGTTTAAGAAAAGGAACTATTTTAATTTGTTATGAATGATGTTGGGAAGCTCAACTCTTATGTTCTCTGATGTATGATATTACTAAATTAATTATCTAGAGTTTTTTTAACCCTAGCTTGCCGCTAGAGCTTTCTTCTCCCCCCTTTGGTTTCTCAGTATGTTTTTATTTTATTTTCCACAACATCCAGATTTGTTCCATTAACAAAATCCCTTTCCATCAATGTTCCTGTTCCGCCCTAACTCCCTCGAAATCTTTTACTCAAGTTCTTAAAGGGGTGAGTGATATTTCGATTTCGCAGTTGCTTGAACTGGTTACCCAAGGAGATCTGCTTTCCATCACCATTCTAGAAGAAGAATATAAATCGGGGCTCAATGAATGTAAGAAGAACCTTCATTATCACATTCTTTGGCCAACAGGTTCTACGCCTCTAACGGTTGCAACACTCCATTCGAAGCTCTCCTAGATTTGGCCAGATGTGAAACATTGGGGAGTCACGTCTCTTGGTAAAGGGTATTATGAGTTTACTTTATCTAATACTAAATACATGATAAGAGTCAGAGCTTCTAGTTCTATTAGTTTGAGCCCTGGTTCATTGAAGCTTTTTGCTTGGTCGAAGGATTTTAATCCATCTTCACAGCATAACACCTCTGCTCAGGTTTGGGTCAATTTTTTTGGGTTATCTCAGGAGTACTGGATGCCTCAAATTCTTTTTGCTATTTTTAGTTGTGTAGGAATGCCCATCTGTATTGATGATGCTTATCTAAATCCAGGGTTGATAGAACTTTCAGTCAATTTGTTCGTGTTCGTATTGATATGAATTTAACTCAGACAATAAACTATAATGTTCTGGCGGAGCGTGAATGGTTTTCATTTTTCTCAGACATTGAATATGAAAATCTCCCCGAATTTTGTACACATAACAAGATAAATGGTCATGATGTTCAAACTTGTAAGTTTCTAAGGAAAATCAATATTCAACAGATCCCAAAATCTAAAGTACCTTTTGTGCCAAAACCTACCTCGAACCCTCAGATAGGTCCTTTGATGCCTATTAATGACGAGGTTGTTCAAGATTATATTAATAGTGAAAGGAGAGAGGTTTGTCCTCTTTTGGATGTCATACCTGATGATGTTTAGGACTATCCTAATGTTGAGGCGAACCCCATTCTGCATAATCCTCTTAGTTTTGTTTCATAGTTGTCTGTGGAGTTAGGATCTCAGCTGACTATTCTTGTGGATGCCACCTAAGATGAAAAAGGTGAAGTTTTTTTATTATGGATGTTATTTTCCTAAAAAACTCTTGGGATAATTTGGCGAAGAAAGAGGAGGAGTCTATTCAACATGATGGTTTTTCAATAAAACTATTTCCAGACAAAAAAAGAAGTAGTCGGCTAGGCAGAAACACGATACACTACTAAATCCCAAGCAAGGCTTAAGCAAACCTCTTTATGAAGAGCCACTTTTGGAAAATTATAGGTGTGATTAATGCTCCTTCTAAATTATCCCTTAAGAGACTCATCAAGATTCATAAACCTGACTTCATCTTTGTTGTTGAACCTAAGATGGATTTTTCTAAATTTCTTAATAACTAGTTTAACCATTTAGAGTTCAAACCTTTTTCTTTTAATTCTAAGGAGAAATCCTCTTTGTGGTTCTTATACACTACGAACATCTCCCTTACTGTCTTATCTTCCTCTGATCAATTTGTTGCTTTTTCTTTTATTCTGAATAATTGTTTATTGGCTAGCACTAGTGTGTACTTTTCTAGCAATCTTATTTAAAGGAGGGGTCTATCACTTGATTACCTTCTTCCTTTGCACCTTTTCCCTTGGTCTTTTGTCGGGGATTTCAATGCAATTACCGGTGCTCATGAACATCGTGGTAAGAACAATCCTGCAAAAACTCTTATATCTGACATTGAGAACTGGCATGACTCCAACAACCTCTTTCATCTCCCCACTTCTGGCGCCTGATTTACATAGTCCAATAAGATAGACCATACTTTCTTCATTGAGAGACGTCTTGGTAGGTATATAGGGAATCAACTCTAGATTGATGTTTGCTCTCAAGTTTCCTTTTCTGCTCTTATTGGGATATTATTAAGGTGGACGTTTCAAATGCAGTTATGGATTTCTTTCTCAATGGTTGGATTATGCCTGGGTTTAATTCCAAATCTTTAGTGCTTATTCCTAACTCAAGGTTGTTGATGGTTTGGATCTATTCTGATCCATCGTTATTTAGAATTTTAAGTTTAAGTTGATAACAAAGATCATCAAGGACATGCATGCTACTTTAATGTCGTTTTTGGTTTCTCATGAGCGGCAAGGTTTTTATTTAGGGAAGGCATATTCATGATTGTATTGGTTTAGCCTTAGAATTTGTTAATTTGCTGGATTCCAAAGCTTGGTGTGGTAACTTGGCTCTTAAGGTGGTTATTAAGAAGGCTTTAGATACCTTCAACTGGGATTTCCTTTTGAATGTCCTGCACAAGTTTGGGTTCAATAACAAATTCTGCTCGTGGATTAGTAACATTCTGCATTCAAATTTTTTGTCCATTAATATTAATGGATTTTTACATGGTTTCTTCAGCTACACTCGGGGTGTCTGGCAAGTTGATTCGCTTTCGCCACTACTTCTTTGCCTTGCTGAAGAAGTTATGAGCAGAAGAATTCTTCAGTTAGTGTCCACTTGCAAGTTGGATCTTATTTTCCAGACGAAGAATGTTATGGTTCCCTCTCATATTCTTTATATTGACGATGTCCTTATTTTTTACAAAGGTAAAATTTCCAACATAAAAAATCTCATTTCTATTTTCAAAGATTATGTTGCTATCTCTGGGAAAGTGGTTAATTATGGGAAATCTTTCATTTATGGTGGTGCAATATCGTCTTCCCGTCTCAATATTCTTGCTGAATTATCGAGATTCCAGAAAAGCTCTCTTCCTTTAATCTATCTTGGTGTTTGTCATTTCAAAGGTAAACCTAAGAGGAATTTCTTGCAACCTATTGTTGATAGAATGATCAATAAGTTGGCATCATGGAAATGTTAATTGTTATCTTTTGTTGGGAGAGCGGGGTTGGTTAAATCCACCATTCTTGGAATGCTTACTCATAGTATGACTATCTATGCCTTGCCGTTATCTCTTACTGGTGATACTGAAAGGGCGGTGAGGATATTTATTTGGAGTGGAGAAACCTCTAAAAATAAGACGATCATTGTGGCGTGGAACAATATATGCAAGTCTATTAATGAAGGTGGGCTTGGGATGAGATCTATTTTCAAGCTTAACGAAGCTTCTAACTTGAAGCTAGCTTGGGATACCCTTAATTTTGATGAAAACCGGGTTGTTGTCCTCCGGGAAAGAGTTACGCGTAACAATAAATTCATCACTTATTATGTTTTCTCCTCCATTTGGTCCAACGCTAAGTTAGAGTTGCACAAAGTTCTTAATAACTCATCGTGTTGTCTTAGGAATGGTCAATCAATTATTTTATGGTACAATAATTGGCGTGGTTCTCCGTTATTTCTTGATGGTGATGCCCTGACCTCCATTGTTGATCATCTAATCAACATTATTTTGGTGAATGGTGTTTGGGATTTTTCCAAGTCTTCCACCACCATTCCCATATCTATTCAAGTGTGTATTAGAAATCATCATATCCCTTTTGATATCCGTCTGGATAAGAGATGTTGGAACCTTTGTTCTAATGGTGACTTACCTTTTAAGTTTTCTTATGATTTTAAATGCTATAGAGGCAATTTTAAGGAGAGTTGGAGGTGGATTTGGAACAAGTCGATTCCTCAATCTAAGTCTTTCATGGTGTGGAGGATTCTTCATAATAAGTTGCCTATTGATAAATAATGGAAAAGAAGAAGTTTTTTGTCTCTCTTTTCGGTGTGATCTTTGTGATTCGGCAGAGGAAACCAAATCCCATTTGTTCTTTAATTGTAATTATGCTTCTATGCTTTGGAATTGGTTGAAGAATATGCTCAAAATTAATTACTCTATAATTGATTGAACTGATATTTGGAGACTCTATGGTACGCCTGGTGCTCCAAATATTGTGGAGGTCTTCTGGAAGCCCCTCTAGGGGGTGGATAAAGTTGAATTGTGATGGTGCCTCCACATCCCCTTTGGGAATCCTGGCCTGTGATGGCATTGCTAGAGACCATGATGGTTCTTTATTGGGTGCTTATGCCTCTTTTTTAGGTGTCTCCAATTCTCTCATTGCCGAATTCTCGAGTGTTATGCTAGCAATTGAATTTACTAATGAGAAGAAATGGCAAAAGGTTTGGCTGGAAATAGACTTGAAGGCGGTGGTTAAAGCTTTCAATCCTCCATATTGTGTGCCTTGGTGATAGCGCGAAATCATATCTTTTATTTGACTTGACTTACATGAATTTAGCTGCGATTCTTGTTAATTTATCTTGATTTATGTTCTATTATACAATTAATTTACTATGTTTTACAGATTGTGGAGAATTTGGATTAAAGAAAGAAAAGAAGAAGAAATGGAAGGAAAAGAAAGAAGAAAGGAAGAAATAGAGAAGAAAGTAGCAGAGAAGACAAATTTTGTGAGTGTGATGCTCGTCATAGTTCCATGACGCCCGTCACAGCCATCACGGTTGTCACGCTCCATTACACTCGTCATGAGTAACACGTTCATCACAACCCCATTACGGTCATCATGAACCAAATATCATAATAACATCCAAAACAGAAGTGGCCACGAACACCCTTAACTTAATTTCTTCCTACACTTTCTCCACTAACTGCCCACTACAGAAAGTTACTCCCACTTCCACCATAACTCATGCATGAGCTCTGGAAATTGAGAAATGAAATATCTCATATAAATAGGCCTTAGATTCACAGCTTTCAGGGGGGTGGATTCTACGTCCCGAAGGGCTGCCAAAGTTTTGTTGAAGTCATTTTTTCATTTTTATTGTTTCTTTAATTTCCTTTCCTTTTTCCTTTTAGTTCAGAGCATTGTATTTCTTTCTGCAATTTTATTTCGCCATAGTAGAATCCTGCCAACAATGTGGAGGACTACTCGAGAATTCAATTTCAGTACTACTTTCCAGGTTCTTATTAAATGAATATTTATTTTATTTCCTTCATTATGCATGTTATATCATTTTGCTGTTTATGTTTATTTCCATTTGCATTAATTATCATGTCTAGCTAAATTAGTTTTATCGGTATGTAAGCAAATTAGTATGACAGGATTCGATAATACCCGGTGCACCTTACCTTTTTACAAACAATCTTTCTGGTCGTAGTTTTTAATCTAAATTTCTAAATAAACCTTTGTCACGACAGTGAGAAGCTATTTACAGTGGTTTTGCCATGAGAGTGGGAAACTTAATAAGGTTCGAGCCGACACGTGAGAGCGCGGGGATTGAATCGGATAGTAAAACCTAGACATTAATTTTAAACACAGTGAAAGCGCTTTAAAAGAGATCAAAATTTATTTATTTTCAAAAAGTAGTTTTAACCCCGAATGGGACTGCGAGAGCGTACATTCCACCTTAGAATTATGACCCCAGTCAACAACCAGCGTGAGGCAAAGGTCTTTAAACGAGTATTTTCTCCTGAAAAGTATTTGCAAAAACTAAAAAGCACCGGTGACCTGTCGAATCCCCGATAACTAAGGCATTGCATACTGATATCCCTAATCAATATATTTTTAAAACTAATAACCTTTATTTCCTTTAAATTTAATTTTATTCGCATTTAACTTTCCTAATTCCATTAGCCTTAGCTTTACGCCGCAACACTAGATAACGGTAGGTTGACATTGGTCTCTGTGGGTTCGACAAATCTTTTATATTACTTCGATATTTCCGTGCACTTGCGGACGCATCAGGTTTTTGGCGCCGTTGCCGGGGACCAACAGTCAATATTGTGATTCCGTTGTTGCATAGTATAAACTAAGACGCACTTATCTAAATTACTATGTATAACCCAAATTTCCCTTATAACTACCACCCCCAATATTATAACTACCACCCCTAATATTATAACTACCACCCCCAATATTTTGAGGAACCACAAAATCCGCTTAAATATGACCTCGGAATATTATTGGAGGATTTCAATACAATGCACTCTCATCCAAATTCCCTCTACAATTACCACTCCCAATATTTTGAGGAACCGCAAGATTTTGATACATCCAACCTCAAACTATTATTAGAAGAACTTAATGCGATATTTACTCACTCTAGGATAGAATCTATGATGGAGCGCTTTGTGGAGACACAAACTCTCCAAAACGAATATTTTAGAAAACAACATATCCAAATTAACGAAAATCTTAAGCAGATGAGCATTATGGTCGATTCCCTCGCGATTCACAGTGAGGCTTTGGAGACTCAAACCTCTCTGCTTACACAAACACCTTTAGGACCTTTCCCTGAGAGACATGTGGATGTTGTAACAACCATTAATAAAAGAATAATTAGAAAATCCTAGGGAGAGTGATCATGAGTCTGGGGAGAGTTTTGGTGAGAAAATCATACATATTGAGAAAAATCCACCGACACCACCCGAAAGGGAGGTTATCAAAGAGGTAGAGAAGGAAGCTACTATTGTTGCTCCTCCTCCCTATACCCCACCTATTTATTTCCCACAAAGGGTTGTGGAAGTTAAGGTAGACTCCCAATCCAGAACATATGTGGAGGTATTGGAAAATATCCACACTAATGCACCTTTGTCTAAGGTCCCTCATAGAAAAAGAAAATTCAAGGACCATGAAACTAGGGTTATCATTATTGTTAAAAGGGTAATATTAACTCTTGAGGTGGTGGATGAAATAAATAAGCCTAAATTTGAAAAACTGATACTCAGGATAGATCCAGAACCACCACCACAAGTTCAAAACAATGAACCACCCTACAGAAGAAAGAAAAGAAAAGGTGAATGATATGAGCGATGGCTTGATAAGTGGCCATGAAAACCGAAGACTATTCAAAGTTTGATCAAGGAACCATTCTCTAAAGAACCACCATGCGTACTTGCACCCCTTAGACGTCAAGCTATCGACGTTAAACAAAGCGCTGCGTGGGAGGCAACCCATGAAGTTCTTATTTTATGTTTCTATGTTTGTTTGTTTGAATTTGCAACAAATAAGGAAATGCACTACATGTCGCGTCTCGGCTACATCTAGGAGATGAGTTGGTGCCCACAGACATTCCTATGAATGTTGTTGCTGGTGGTGACACCAATGATGAATATGATAGGAGAGAGCATGTCTTTCCCGTCCGTAACTCACCTCTTCCTTGTTCTTCGCATGGTCATATTCCTCCGAAAGCAAGTAATATGATGAGTTGTTTCTAGAATTATACAAACGAAGGTATCTCAAAATGCCCGCCGCCGAAGTATAAGTGATCAACAAAGACATGGACATCAAGAGCAGGATCATAGAGGATTTGGCACACAGTAGCATTCATACAGGTTCTATCTTTCCTTTTTCCACCTTTTACTAAAACATTGAGGACAATGTTTGGTTTAAGTGTGGGGGAGGAACTCTACCTCTTTCATTTTATCGCTTTTTTGTTTGATTTATTGTTTTATATTTTATTTCATACTTTTAGGAATTTTATCTGTTTTTAACGTTATGTCAAAGTCTTTGCATGTGCTGTCGAGTCTTTATGCGTGGTTTTCACTTGTTATTCAATTTCCCCATAATTTTAAAATTTCAAAATTTTAACCTCCAACAATTTTTTGCTTCGAATCATGACATGGTACTCTGAGAGTATATAGCCCGTTCAGGCTATATTAGAAAAACTTGGGAATGTTTTGATAAAATTGATATCATCCTGACACACTTAACCCCATAAATATGCAAAATCAATTTGAGTACCCATTATGCCGAAACCTTAAAGCTCCAATTTTTTTAGGAATCCCTAAGTAGCTTATTTAAGCAGTCAACACCATCCTAAACACACTAAGTAAGAAACCGAAGCAAATAAGTGTATGATCTCTGGTTTAAAATGAGAAATCAAAAAAGAAAATATTATGAATAAAAAGACATGTTCCTTCTAAGTTAGGTGCTCCTCACTCGATCACTTAGCCCAAAGGTACAAACTCTTTAAGTTCAATTGAAGCTTAAGCATATTTGCAGAAAAAAATGAAATAACAATGAGATCATAGTCACTAATAGGTTTACTTGCCATGAATATGTATGGGATAACGAGCTTTATGTGATGGCACTAGAATGAAATGGGGTGAAAGAGAGCATGAGATATAGGTTGAGTTATAATGGCTTGATTCAGGTTGGTTTGCATAAGCAGGGAGTTTTTGAAATTGTGTCGTTATGGTATCCTTGGTATTGATATTTAGTACCTATCGATCTAACATTAGCCTAGCAGCAACGTATGATTAGAGTCTCATCGTGTCTTTGTTTCGAATTATGCTTATTTCTTTTTACCGTGTTGGTTGATTGCTTGAGGACAAGCAATGGTTTAAGTGTGGGGGTATTTGATAGCGCGAAATCATATCATTTATTTGACTTGACTTACATGAATTTATCTGCGATTATTGTTAATTTATCTTGATTTATGTTCTATTATACGATTAATTTACTATGTTTTGCAGATTGTGGAGAATTTGGAATAAAGAAAGAAAAGAAGAAGAAATGGAAGGAAAAGAAAGAAGAAAGGAAGAAATATAGCAGAGAAGACAAATTTTGTGAGTGTGACGCTCGTCACAGCTCCATGACGCTCGTCACGACCATCATGTTCGTCACACTCCATTATGCTCGTCACAAGTAACACGTTCGTCACAACCCCATTACGGTCGTCATGAACCAAATATCAGAATAACGTCCAAAACAGAAGTGGCCACGAATACCCTCA